CCAGGATCAAGCGATTCTCTTCCCTCAGCCTCCTGAGTAGCTGGGATTACAGGCGCCCGCCACTATGTCCAGCTAATTTTTTGTATTTTTAGTAGAGACGAGGTTTCACCATGTTGGCCAGGCTGGTCTCAAACTCCTGACCTCATGATTCACCCGCCTCGGCCTCTCAAAGTGTTGGGATTACAGGTGTGAGCCACCACGCCGGCCTTTTTTTTTGAGACAGGCTCTCACTCTGTTGCCCAGGCTGGAGTGCCGTAGTGCGATCACAGCTCACTGTGACCTCCAACTTCTGGGCTCAAGTGATCCTCCCTCCTCAGCCTCCTAAAGTTTTGGGACTACAGGTGTGAGCCACCATGCCCAGAGCCTTGAATCTTTGAAAATAAATTTCATAGTCAGTCTAAAGCTATGATGTGTATGTCGGCTAAATACAGTGTTTATCTCAGAAACACTTTCTTGTAACCACAATAAAACCAAAATCTTTGTTTTAGGTAGAAACATTACCAACAAATGTTTGCAAAACAGAAAGGCTTTAAAGTGAAAAAAAATTGAGTCTATGGCCATCATAATAGTGTGGCTTTGAAAACTTTCAGGCTATGTACATACCCCATTTCTATTCCCTCATCTCCTTGGGAGTTTTTTTATTTTAATTTTTTTTTTTTTTGAGACAGAGTCTCACTCTGTTGCCCGGGCTGGAGTGCAGTGGTGCGGTCTCGGGTCACTGCAAGCTCCGCCTCTCAGGTTCATGCCATTCTCTTACCTCAGCCCCCAAGTAGCTGGGACTACAGGCACCTGCCACTGCACCCGGCTAATTTTTTGTATTTTTAGTAGAGACAGGGTTTCACCGTGTTAGCCAGGATGGTCTCGATCTCCTGACCTCGTGATCCACCCGCCTCGGCCTGCCAAAGTGCTGGGATTACAGGCGTGAGCCACCGCGCCTGGCTCCCTGGAGTTTTTTTATTTTTAGTTTTTTGAGACAGTCTTGCTCTGTTGCCCAGGCTGGAGTGCAGTGGTGCGATCTCAGCTCACTGCAACCTCCGCCTCCTGGGTTCAAGAGGTTCTTCTGCCTCAGCCTTCCTAGTAGCTGGAAGGCTAATTTTTGTATTTTTAGTAGAGATGGGTTTTCACCATGTTGGCCAGGCTGGTCTTGAACTCCTAACCTCAGGTGATCTGCCCACCTTGGCCTCCCAAAGTATTGAGATTACAGGCATGAGTCACCGTGCCTGGCTGATATTTTCTTAATAACTTTTTAGTATACAGAGTAATATGGTCAATTTTTAGAAAATAATTAGGCAGGGTGCAGTGGTTCATGCCTGTAATTCCAGCACTTTGGGAGGCCGAGGCGGGTAGATCATGAGATCAAGATGGAGACCATCCTGGCCAACATGGTGAAACCCCTCTCTATTAAAAATACAAAAACTAGCTGGGCGTGGTGGTGCATACCTGTAGTCCCAGATACTCATGAGGCTGAAGCAGGAAAATCGCTTGAACCTGGGATGCATAGGTTGCAGTGAGCTGCAATCACGCTACTGCACTCCAGCCTGGCAACAGAGTGAGACTCTGTCTTAAAAAAAAGAAAGAAAGAAAGAAAGAAAACTAAAATAATTAATACCAAAAGGTAGATCAATTAAGGATTCTAATGATATTAAAATTATTAAGGTTGTTGGGCAAGGTGACTCACACCTGTAATCTCAGCACTTTTGGGAGGCTGAGGGAGGAGGATCGCCTGAGTTCAGGAGTTTCAGACTAGCTTGGGCAATATAGCAAGACACCATCTCTATGTAAAAAAATAATAATAAAAATAATTTTTAAAAAAATATTGCCCGAGTGCAGTGGCTTACACCTGTAATCCCAACACATTGGGAGGCCGAGGTCAGGAGTTTGAGACCAGTCTGGCCGACATGGTGACACCCCATCTCTACTAAAAATATAAAAATTTGCCGGGTGTGGTGGTGGGTACCTGTAATCCCAGCTACTCAGGAGGCTGAGGCAGGAGAATAGCTTGAACTCCAGAGGCGGAGGTTGCAGTGAGCCGAGATCGCACCACTGCACTCCAGCCTGGGCAGAGCGAGACTTGGTCTCAAAATAAAAAAAAATTAAGGCAAGCATTTCCTACTTCAACTAAAGGCCAAACGGCTATTTGTGAAATGAAGGCATAATAGAATAAGTTAATGATTTATACCGTATAGTGCTCATTTTCAGGATCAGGAATAAAGTCTCTGTTAATCATAATGCATTTGCTATTTTTGTTACTTATTTGCATTCCTCAAAACAACTGATAGATTAGGTGCTAGACTTCATGCATGTGAAATAAGCCACTGGTTGCCACCAATGAAGGAAGGGGGCTCCAACAGTTGGCTACTCAGTTTGTTTTTGGCAAAGAGCGTAGAGCAGGAACCTAGCACTTCAGGCATAGTGCACAGAATTGTGACAGGCACCTTGGACACTCTAAACCAGGAGAATTGAGAATCTTACTGGAAAGCTTTTGGGCCAAGAAGGTACATGATCCCTGACAGGAAAGACAATTATCCCATCTGTATTTTTTTTTTAAAGAAAAGAAAAATGTAATACTTTTTGGAGCTCTTACAGGAATTAAATAAGAAAACATAGATAAAAGCATCCAACAAGGTTATCAAGATGCATTAAGTGCTCAATAATGTAGCCAAATCTGAGTAGTGGAAACTTTATTGGGAAAAAAAATAGCTTCCTCAAATTGTATCAGTAGTTTTAGCCCGGGTGTGGTGGCTCACGCCTGTAATCTCAGCACTTTGGGAGGCAGAGGCCGACGGATCACCTGAGGTCAGGAGTTCAAGACCAGCCTGACCAATGTGGTGACACTCCGTCTCAAAAAAAAATAATTAAAAAATTAAAAAAAAACCAATAAAAATTATATCAGTTTTGTTAGCATTTGCAGATTCTACAAATCAGACATAGCAATTTTTTTTTTTGAGAGTTTCTCTTGTCGCCCAGGCTGGAGTGCAATGGTGCGACCTCAGCTCACTGCAACCTCCGCCTTCCAGTTCAAGTGATTCTCCTGCCTCAGCCTCCAGAGTAGCTGGGATTACAGGCGCCTGCCACCACACCCAGCTAAGTTTTGTATCTTTTTTTTTTTTTTTTTTGAGACGGAGTCTCACTCTGTCGCCCAGACTGGAGTGCAATGGTGCGATCTCAGCTCACTGCAAGCTCTGCCTCCCAGGTTCACGCTATTCTCCTGCCTCAGCCTCCCAAGTAGCTGGGACTATAGGCGCCCACCACCACGCCCGGCCAATTTTCTGTATCTTTAGTAGAGACGGGGTTTCACCGTGTTAACCAGGATGGTCTCGATCTCCTGGCCTCATGATCCACCCGCCTCGGCCTCCCAAAGTGCTGGGATTACAGGCGTGAGCCACCGCGCCCGGCCAATTTTTATATTTTTAGTAGAGACAGGGTTTCATCATGTTGGCCAGGCTGGTCTCGAACTCCTGACCTCAGTGATCCACCCACCTCGGCCTCCCAAAGTGCTGGGATTACAGGCGTGAGCCACTGTGTCTGGCCTCAAGTCTTGAATATTTCGCTCAATTGATGGATAAGTATCATAGATTATAGCTAAGCAGAAGTCAAACTTTATAAAGAGGAAAGCACTGAAATGCTAAGCTGATGCAGCATATCCCTATCCACTGGTTTCTTTGGTCACAAGGGGTATTGCAAAAAAGGGTGTAGCCAGCTTAATGCAAAAAAGCACATTTTATTTTAATTTTAATTTTTGGAGAAAGGGTCTCGCTTGGTTGCCCAGGCTGGTCTCAAACTCCTGGGGTTAAGCAATACTCTCACCTAGGCCTTCCAAAGTGCTGGGATTACAGACATAAGCCATGGAATCTGGCCAAACACATTTTAATTTCCTGAAAAATTCAAAACATATCTATAAAGTTATGTCTTATATAAAGAAAAATAAGTTGTTAGAAAACACGTTTTTCAATTTCACTAGAAGGAAAGTAATTTTCCTTGTGATAACTAATGTGTTTGATGTCTAAATGTTTAAAAAAAATATTGTAAATAGAACATAACTTCACAACTGAGTTTTCGAAGATGGTAAGAATCAGTTAATTTTACTTAACTTTTCCACCAAACAGAGAGGAAAAAAACCACAGAAGAAAATCCAGAATATTTAGGTAAGTACTATATTCAAAGTTATATGATAAAGGATCAGCTAGAAACTAATAAATATTCGATATATGCATTACATCAACTCACTTTTAAATTAGGACAATTTCTAAATTTGGAAGTTATTTCTAAATGCTGTGTAATAAATTTTACAAAGAAATTAAATATTCTACTGATTCAGGGCACTAATATAACAAATTCATTCCTGCCAGGTTAGTCAACATGTGTCAGAAAAGTAACTTTTAATACAAGATTTAAATCATCATCCCCAGTAGAACATACAAAGATAGTCCATTCATTTTCTATTATTTTTCTCTTTCTTCACAAAAATTGAAAAATGTCTCTGCAATTCATTATCCTCCAACAAGCGTTCTATTGGAATTGATGCAAATGGGTATCCTTTGTCCCTCTCACCTCTATGCTAACAGCATTGTTTAACTCTGATCCCATTGATCTATTAAGCTTTGCTCATTTAAAAAAGTAAATTCATGACATCCACTGCAATATACAAAAAGTCACTCATACATGCTGGCAGCACATTGGAAGTTCTGAACTAACTAACAAAAATAGCCACATTTCTCAATTCTGTGACACAAAAAGCAGACAGCAACATGTGTAATGCACCAAAATCTAGCTAGAGTTTAAAGAATCTAAATAAATAAAAAAATTAAATGCCTGGATATAATTCTTAATAAACTATTTTACTTAAAGAAAAATCTAAAGCTGTCTTTAAAATCTCTTTCCAGGTTTACTGTATCCTTTCTTCATAACAGAATTTCCAGAAACAGGGGTCGTTTTTAAATCCCCAGTGATATCTGCCTTTATTTGCACTGTGGAAAATGACACACTGTATCATGCCTTTCTGGACAGTCCATAGGTTTTATTTACATTGCTTTGAGACAGAGACGAAAGACATGTTTTTTACAATTGTCTTACAGCAATCTCAGTTTTGAGAGTAACATGTAACAAATTTTCATATGCAATATATGAAAACATGTGAATATTTATATATACAATAACATAACTAGACAAATAAATGAAGTTACTATTAAGTCTCTTTAAGTACAAATTTACAAACTGACCACCAGCCACAGAACTTAGCCCTGTAATGGAGAAAGATTATTATTGGCCTGAAAAAATATTAAAATATCACTGTCACTAACATGAAAAAAATTAGAAATAGAAAACAGAAAACAGTAATCACCGGAAAACCTGTGTCTTGTAATGATTTCTTTCCATCAGAAGATGCAGAAACATTTTTCCCCCTAGAGCAAATGAAAACGTTTCTCATGCACCCCCAGTTTCTTCCCTGCTTTCTCCCCCAGGCGCCGGTGTAGACTGCCGGTGTGGACTTTTTTCCAGAGATGGGGAGTAAAAATTTGTACTTTATCGGGAGCGGGTGCACTTTTCCCCCTGGCCCCCCTTTGCTCTGCCTCCAAGATGGTAGGAAAGTTGTCGTTTCGGAGGGCAGAGGAGCAGCTCTCTGGTGTTATGTCCTCGCAGTGCCTGTAGTGGTGCTGTAGGAGGCTGCTGCCTCTTCTTGTACAGCCCCGGCAGCCCTGCCTTCTTGGCTGGAGAGTATATTCAGGGATTTCCCCTTAATAATCACCGACCCTGGGAGCACTTTTTAGTTTCCAAAATAAAAATATGATCCTCACCCCTCTTGCTTGACAGGGAAAGGCTCTCGCCGGAGCCCAGGGGGGAGCAGTAGCAGCGGCAGCCGAGCTTCCTAGTCCATTGCCAGCGCCTCTCACTCTGATCTGTCAGCCCAGCCGAGGGAACAGGGGGGAAGGAGAAAAAAAAAAGCAACTGAAAGGTAAGCAGAGGCGGCCCCAGGCCCGGCCCACATCCCCGGGCTCCCGTAGGGCGGCGGGCTGGGCCGCGCAGGCTGGGCGGGCGGCGAGCGCGCTTACGTGAGGCCGGGGATTCGCCGGCCCACGCCAGGCCCCGGGCGGAGAATGAAAGGGTGAGTGGGGCCGGCGCCCGGGTGGTGGAGGCCGGGGGCCTGAGGGCCTCCGGGGCGCCCGCGGACGGCGACGGCGGGCGGGCAGGGGTCCAGCCGGAGCCGGAGTGGGGCGAGCGGTGCGGCCTGCGCGGGCCAGGTGGGGGTGTGCGGCGAGATGGGGGGGCGCCGGTAGGCCTCGGGCCGGTAGGCCCCACGGGGGCCGCGCCCTGCCCCCGCACCCCGGGCCTCCGCGCGCCCCCTCGAGTACCCCGGGGCCTCCAGGTGGGACAGCGGCGCTGCGGGGCCGAATCCCGCGCCGGCCCGGAGGCTCTCCCGCGGGGCGGCAGGCCCGGGCTGCCGGGACAGGGGCGTCAGGGCCTAGGAGTGGGGAGTGGGGAATGGGCGCCCGGCCCCCCTTTCCCCCGGTCTCTCGCAGACGCCCCCCAGATTCCGGTAAGAGTTGAATTTATTTATCCCCCTCCTCCGCGCTCCGGACGGCCAGGCCGGGGCGGGGCGGGGCGGGCGGCCTGGCGGGCGTGGGGTCGGGTGGAGGGGCGGTGAGGAGTCAGGTGCAGCCGCGGCCCAGAAAGTTTCCTTTTAGGTCGGAATTGGGGGCCGCTGTCTCTCCGGGGAGCCCTGGTCCTAGCGCCCGGGACCCCCCCAGGGCGTGGGGGAGCGCACTCGGCTATTTTGAAACTCTTTGCCAGTTCCTGTCCATTGAAGAAGGTACTCCGCCCCTGCACCCCTCGCCCGCGCCCCACCCAACTCCCCGCGAGCCCGTTCGGGGCTGCTAACTCCAGCCTGTTCCCCCTAGAGCCCCCCAGGTTGGGGAGAGGGCCTTCTCTTCCGGTTTGGAAAAGTTTGCAAGGGGTTTCTTAGCTTTATTAGTGACTGGGGTTTTTGGGGTGGGAAGGAGGAGGTAAACTCAGGTGGTGTTTCTGCCGGCCAGTCTTTCCCTATTGCCTTTTTTAGCCCTTACCCCACCAACTGGGGGTGTTATTTTCAGCTTGAGTACCCACCCCCTTTCATCCCGATTCCTTTGGGTCCAAAATCCCCCTTCTGGACAGCTCCGGCGGAGAGGAAGATGTAGGGAGCAGCGAGGAGACTGTCAGTGAGAGGGGCAGGATCAGGCAGGGTTTCTGGAGCAGTCCCCAGATGTAGGAGTTTCCCCTCCTTTTTGGTCACTGTCCGGTAAAACCAACACCGGAACAGATCCCAAGGGGTAGACGTGGTTGTCAGATGGCTTGGAAGCCTCCGGGATTGGGAGGAGGGAGAGGAAGTGGGCAGGGCAGCTCCCGAAACAAGGTCTACAGTTTAAGGATCAGTAGTTCATTTATTCTGATAATCACTATTTAGATTTATGTGACATTCTTATATTCGACCTAGAAATAGAGTAATGGAGATTTTAAGGAAACCTAAACTTGTTATTGCCATAACTCCGAAGGGTCTGTGGAAGAGCCCTCGGAACCTCGGAAAACTACTTTGGTTTTGGGGGGGTTGTGTGTATGTATAACATTTAAACGGAAAAAAATATAAAATATATATGTGTATGTATATATTTTATATGCATATATATACACATACATATTTTCACACACACACACGTATGTTTTCTGTTTAAATTGATTCAATTTTAGCTCTATTTTGGTGCCCTGAGCTCTGAACGTTAAAAGTAATAAACATAAATTTTCAAATGTCAATTTTCCGCTTTTCAGGGACAGGATGTTTCCCGTGGCTATGCTTACCTCCTTGTTGTTGTTGAGTGTTGAAATTGAAATGTTAATGAACCCTTCCACCCCCCACTGCCAGCCCCCATTGTGGGCGTGTTTGGAGAGGTTATTTTGCATCGTTTAATTGTTGGCTTTTTCCTTTTTTTTTTTTTTTTTGGTGAGCTTAGGGCAGAGTGTTGTGTTTGTGTGCGGTGTCCTGCTTGGTAGCAGGCTGGAGTTTGCTGGCAGGAGATGTCCCACATTCTGCCCGCTCAGTACCCCCAGCACTGTTAGTGAAAAGCTGCCACTTGCAGGGCAATGGGTAACCCACGACTTTCAGTGCTGACTTCTGTGAGGCTTCGAAGTGAGACTCATGTGATTCTTCTAGGTGTGTGCCTTTCGTTTCCTTTGGTCTGCCTGAGATCAAATTCTTTTTCTCCACAATGATAGATATCCGGTCATTTAGCATTGAGCTTAAGAAAATCTTGATATTTGAGATTGTATGGATCTGATACAAAAATACAAATTACATTTAATGGTTGTTTTAAGTTTGTTGATTAATTGAAATTGCTTATTGACTTGGACATTTTCATAAACATGTGTGCCAAAAATCGTTACTTCTATTATAGTTTGTCCTTATTTTTAGAGCATATACTGAATGGGAAAAAATCATTCTTAGTCATTTAGGTCATTTTAAGGTTTGAAATGGTTGAAATTTAGGACATTTTAAGGTTTGAAAAAAATTATTGCCTCATTATTTGGTATTTCAAAGGTGTATTGTTGATTTCACATTCCTAAGCTTTCCAAAACTATATATGTACAAATACCAAAAAAGTTTTGTACTTTTTCCCACCCTATCTCAAACATGTATTAATTTCCTAACCTGATCTCCTAATGGGCTACTTTATTTCCTGAAGGAATGACAGGTTTGATACTTTTAAAAGTTACATTCCATTTGAAATTAATAAAAGATTTTCAGGTCAAATACTGAATTAACTTTAAATTACTAAGGGAATATGCTTGTTTACTATTAAATGTTAGTTTAAAAAGTAAATGGTTAGTATAATTACAAGTCTGAAACAATCAAGTTTTCTTTCCTCTGGAAGATTTTTAGGAGAAAATTTGTATACCCCATTCCGACGTTTTCTCAGCAAATCATGTTGCTACTGTTTTTAGAGAAATAAAAAATTTTAGTTTAGAAGGAATTAAACATTTCTGAGAGCACCCAAAATTGACATTTCAAAAAAATGCTAAACTATTTGTTCATACCTGAGATGTTCTTTGAGGATTAGCAGCTCTCACTCTCCAGGTTTGGTACGGTGGTTATGGCTAATGAAAAGTCATTTATATTTGATTACAGTTAGAACAATATTCTCAGACAATTCTCTTCCCCCCTCCCCCACACCCGGTAACTGGTAAAACAATGGTTGAATAGGTGAGACTGGGTTGGAGGCAGCAAATTGTCCCCAATGCTAAGTCAGTTTAACTTATACATGCAGCTCTGTGCTAGGCAAAACAAACAGCAGCAGAGTCTCCTTACTCCTTCAAGCAAGAGTTTGTCCCAGAGGTCCTGACTGTAAAGGCTGATTTTTGACAATGCTCCTGGCTAGTTTGAGATACTGAGGAAATACTCAATTTAAAACCTTAAGCCTCACTCTGTTCCCTCCTTGCATGTAAGGTGACAGACTACTTGGTTCTCATCCTTTCACAGAATGTGATTTAAGATGAGTTTTTAGGCTGGGTGCGATGGCTCACGCTTGTAATCCCAGCACTTTATGGCTCACGCCTGTAATCCCAGCACTTTGGGAGGCTGAGGCGGTCGGGAGTTCGAGACCAGCCTGACCAACATGGAGAAACCCCGTCTTTACCAAAAATACAAAATTAAAATTAGCTGGGTGTGGTGGCGTATGCCTGTAACCCCAGCTACGCGGGAGGCTGAGGCAGGAGAATCGCTTGGACCTGGGAGGCGGAGGTTGCAGTGAGCCGAGATTGCACCATTGCACTCCAGCCTGGGCAACAAAGCGAGACTCTGTCTCAAAAAAAAAAAAAGACAAGTTTTTGGTGAAATTTTATTTGTAGCATGACATCCTACAGTGACACCTTTAGACTGGGCTTTGAGTTCTGATCCCAGTCCTTCCGCTGGGCAATTTACTTAATCTTTGGTTTCTTTAACTGAAAATGGGAATAAACTTCTTCGATATAAGGGTTAGATGAGATAGCCATGTGTTTGGCCCATAATAGTATTAATTAAATGTTAATTCCACTAGCCCACGTTTCTTTCTTTCTTTTTTTTTTTTTTTTTTTGAGTCAGGGGCTCACTGTGTTGTCCAGCCTGGAGTACAGTGGCATGATTACAGCTCACTGCAGCCTCAACCTCCTGGGCTCCAGTGATCCTCCTCAAGTGTGCCTGTAGTCAGCAAGGACTACAGGTGTGTGCCACCATACAAGGCTAATTTTTGTATTTTTGGTAGAGACGGGGTTTCCCCATGTTGCCCAGGCTGGTCTCAAACTCCTGGAGGCAAGGGATCTGCCCGCCTCAGTCTCCCCAGGTGGATCATGACAATTACTTAATCTGATTAAGTCTCAGTTTTCTTCATCTGTAAAAGGGGATAATAATAGTACCTACTTCATAGGGTTGCTGTGAAGACTCAATGAGGAATTGAACGTAAAGCCTTTAGAATGGTTCCTGGAGCATAACCTTTATATTTTCTTGGTGCATAACTTTTTCTGGTACATAACTTTTTTTTTTTTTTTTTAAAGATTTTTAATATTCTTGATGTGAATTTTTAATGAGTTCTTGCCTCAGTATATATTAATAATACTAATAAGTATTTGAGTACAGAAAGAATATTATAATTACTTTAATGGGGCAAATAAATCTATTTTTGCCAGTAAAAAATTGTGCAATATGTTCAGTTTCAGCGGCTTCATGTTAGTGTAGTTTCTGCTGTTTGAATTTGGAACTGGCCAATATAAAGGTATGGTAAGTACACCAAGGGCAAAGGAGCTTAAGGTGGGTTTGCTTCACTCCTGGTTCCCCTCTTTCAGGTTTTGAAGTGTTCTTGTGAGTCCCCACGAACCATAGTGTTGCGTGGTTTTGAAGGCACTGAGCAGTTTGTGGCCTTGATAGGCTCACTTTAGAGTCCTGGGCATGTTTACGTGACTTGATTGGTAGGAGCAGCTGCTGGTTCATTCATTTAACAGATTAGCTTCTTTGTTGTAGCTCTGAGCTTTGCAATACAAAGACACATTCTCTGCCCTTGAGGAGTTTTTAGTCTATTGGAGAAGAAAAATAAGCTGACATTTACAATGTCAATGTGAATGTTAAGTGATAGCTTAGCCTGGAGGAATATTCTTCTATTCTGGCCTAAAGGGCAGGCTAGGTTTTAAAGTGAGGGCTTTACAGGGGAAGTTTCTGTCCTAAGCGAATGGGAGGAGTTAGGCATTCCAGAAGGTGTGACCTGTAAGTAGGAATCACAGTTTAGGGACAAAAGACTATCCTGTGTTGCAAATTATGGTTCTGTTACCGCCCTGGAGTTGGAGGAGGAGGGGAATAAATAGTGAGAGGGAAAGGTCAGTCTGGCTAGGACCTAAGGAGTTTCTGTGTTAGGGTAAGGAGTTTGGATTTCTTTTATGTTACAGGCACACCCTGAAAGCCTTTGGCCACATAAATTACTTGAGATTTAGAGGATTTGAGTTGTACAGAGTAGGAAAAAGGAGAACAAGACTGTAATTAGACTAGTGAAGCAGCTCCTGACAAGAGATTTGAAGAGGGTTTGAACTAAGGTGGTGGCAATGGCAGTTAAGAGGAGGAGGTGGCAGAGGCAGGTTAAGGAGGTAAGGCGATCTCAGGTGGACTGGATGTAAAGATGGGACTCATCCTCACAGATGGCAGCTGAAATGGCAGAAGTAGATAAATTTGGGCTAGTCAGTGGTTCTTAGTCTTAGACACTTCTCCAGAAAAATCCACATATGCAGTTGTATACATTTGGTTTGAAACCTGGGGTAGGCTTGTTACCATGGCTCACAACTGTAGTCCCAGCACTTTGGGAGGCCAAGGTGGGCAGATCACTTGAGTTCAGGAGTTTGAGACCAGCCTGGGCAACATGGTGAAACCCTGTCTCTACAAAAAATACAAAAATTAGCCAGGTGTGGTAGTGCATTTTTGTAGTCCCAGCTACTCAGGAGGCTGAGGTGAGAGGATCACTTGAACTCAGGAGGTCAAGGTTGCAGTGAACCTTGATCACACCACTGCGCTTCAGCCTGGGCGGCAAAGGGAGAACTTGTCTCAAAAAAAAAAAAAAAAAGATAAAAGTAAGCCTATAGAAATGTTTTATTTGACCTACACTTTTTGTGATGGTCTCTGATTTTTCATCAGTGCCTTTTCATATATGAGGAAACAGATTTATAAAATAACTTAGTCAGGGTTACATGTCTTTTTCTTTTCTTTTTTGAAACAAAGTCTCACTCTGTCACCCAGCCTAGAGTGCAGTGGTGCGATTGGCTCACTGCAATCTCTGCTTCCCAGATTCAAGCAGTTCTCTGCCCCAGCCTCCTGAGTAGCTGGGATTACAGGAGCCCACCACCGCACCTGGTAATTTTTGTGTTTTAGTAGAGACAGGGTTTCACCATCTTGGCCAGGCTTGTCTTGAACTCCTGACCTCATGATCCACCTGCCTTGGCCTCCCAAAGTGCTGGGATTACAGGTGTGAGTCACCATGCCCGGCTGCCTCAGCCTCCTGAGTAACTGGGACTATAGGCACGTGCCACCACGCCGGCTAATTTTTGTATTTTTAGTAGAGACGGGGTTTCACCATGTTGGCCGGGCTGATCTTGAACTCCTGACCTCGGGTGATTCACCTGCCTTGGTCTCCCAAAGTGTTGGGATTACAGGCCTGAGCCGCTGTGCCCGGCCCTATCTTTTTTTAAAAACACGGAAGAGCTGGAAGTTCTGGGTCTACCTTTTTTATTTTTTTAAACTTTGCAACAGCTTGCTGGAAATAATTTGAGCAAGGTTTGCCAAAGAATGCCCCTGGCCTACTCTTCCAGCCCATGTAGGCATTTCATCTTGCACCCCTGTAAAGTAAGATTAAATGAACCTTGGAGTACACTGGCATGGAAGCAAGGGGGCCAAGAGAAAAGAACCCACTGACTGGTCAGAAAGGAGAGATTTTCAAGAAAGAGAAAGTGGTCATCAGTGTCAGATGCCGCAGAGAGGTCCAGTTAGCTGAAGAAGGAAAAGTGTATGTGGAATTCAGTAACAAAGAGGCCATTAGTTTCAGATTTTTAGAACAAAAGAACTTTGAGGAGTAGAGCTACAACTTAGTTTTTCTTCTTTCCTCTTGCCTGTAATGCAGGGTTTCTGTAACAACAGAGAGTGACTGTGACATGGATAAGAACTCAGAAGGCATTTGTTGTGAAGGATTATTAACTGAACTAATAAATACTGTACCCAGATCAGTCAAACTGTGCTCATTCTGCTAGTGTTTTCCATCCCAAGAACATTAGTATTTAAGTGTTCTATAGAATGTAGGAAATATTTTTGATATTAGATTTTTAATGAGGATTATAGGAAACTATTCAGAAAACCACTAACAGCTAGAGGATGTGTTTTAGTCCTACAGATTCTAGATCAAAATGATAATACAAATAAACCACTACTTAACTGCTTCTAATGGT